TTAAATGTCCTATCCAGAGTTTTACAAAATAGACTAAGTTGTACCCATTCTATAAGATAAACTGCTAAGTCTTACCTAGACTCCTACTAGACAATAATAAAAAAAGAAAACATAAATAAATCAATAGAAAACAGAGGAAAAAATAAGCATTTCAGGAGAGAGGAAAAACTAAATGGCAAACACATGAAGATATGCTCAACCCCATTAGTGATCAGGGATTGACAGCTCTGTAAGATACAAGCTCCATAGCAACAGAGATCTCAGTTTATCTTGTGAAAAATGTTTTTCCAGCATCAGCACCATCACATAACAGGTACTCAATAAATATCAAATCAAGGCATAGGAAGACTCAATATCCTAAAATGTCAATTATCCCAAAATTCATCTACAGTTGATGCAATTCCAATGAAAATGCCAGCATTTTTTATAGAACAAGATGATTCTAAAATTTAAATGAAAAAACAAAAGGAGGAGAATAATAAAGGTACTTCTGAAGATGAGGTATGTCAACTGGCTCTAGCAGATATTAAGACTTACAAGCTATAATGAGACAGTGTGGTCTTACTATGCCTTAGGTGGGTTAATCTACTCAAACCAGGCAAAATCAGTTAAACATGTTCTGAGGTTCTTTAATCACACAATGAAAAGAGGCATATATAAATATGCAAAAAGTAAAATACGGAGCAAACACATATATACAAATACAATATGTAGTACTTAACTACAGGGATACATTCCGAGAAATTGATCATTAGGTGATTTTGTTGTATGATCACAGAGTGTACTTTCACAAAACTAGATGCTATAGCCTATCACATACCCAGGCTATATGGAAATAGCCTATTGCAGCTAGGCTATAAACCTGTACAGCATGTTACTTACGGAATACTGTGGGCAACTAACACAATTGTAAGTATCTGTGTATCTAAACATACCTAAATATAGAAAAGTTAGTCAAAATATATTAAAATCTTATGGGATCCCTTTTGTACATGTAATCCACTGTTGACTAAAATGTCGTTATGCGGCACATGACTGTACGTGCTGTCTGGCAGAAACATTAAAATACAAGTGGATGGCTATGATCACTTATTCTTCAAATCATAATAAAGAAAAATGACTGCTTCATATGACTTCATCCCAGAATGTCTCTGCTTGAAATACAAAATTTTGGAGCATAAAAATTTGAGTTATCACTGACTATAAAGGCTTTTAACAAATAAAAACAAACACCTAAAATTAATACTTTGATTATGATCTCAGATAATCATCTCCTCAAATTCAATTTATAGATCAAATGGCAAAAAGAAAAATTAAGCTTTTAAAACCATCCCTCAATACCCTTAAACAGTTTGGTTCATTCCGAAAAGAGTGAAAACC